TTCCATTTCACTGCATCTTTCCCATTTAATGAAGTGGCAATAGGAGCAGAAAACTAGAGACTTTACTTAAAATAATAACACAAGACACGCATTTTATTTCATCACTGTAACTTTCACTTGAAAAGAACTTTGCAAAACTTTTTCAGTTTTATAAGTACTGGTTATAACCACTAATTTATGCCTTTTTATGGATTATAAAGTTGAAATTCATAGCTGGAAATGTATTTTTTCCTTTTCAAAATTTGGGTGCGACTGGCAAGGCTGATGCATTTTTACCCATACTTAGTGCATTGAAAGGTTGATGGTAAACCTTATACTTCAATAACTCTATGGTTTTCTGGTTGAGTTCAGAGGGCAGTTAAGTGTCCATGGTGGTGTTGGGAGATCAGGTAAATACCCTTCTGTAAAGGGTATTACTGAACCAGTTGGACCAGTAGGGCCTTGTAATAATTTGACTGCTTCAAAACAATTTTAATGCCATCCTTTTCCTCCCCAGATGATTAAAAAAGTCTTGAGGTTAAAAGAATAGACCTTCAATTTATTATCTGTGGATTATTAGTTCTGGCCTTGGGTTTATTAGTTCAGGAATACAAGAACTATCGTGAGGTTATTTATTTAGATTAATTAATTTTGTTTACTGTTTAATATAACATACAGGAGAACAAAATGTTATTACTATAACAACCTACCAATATATCTGATCACTTACAATTACTAATTTGAAAGCAAATTTTCACTTTTAAAATATCTGCTTTATACTAATGTGAAATGATCTGTGATGAAAAAGACAAAATGGAATACAGTGACATCTATAATTGCACCTAAAGTGTTTGAGGAACTAAAAATGAAGGCATCCTACAGATGTAAGAAAATGTAAAAATATAACTGAACTAGATTGTAAAAGGGTTTAAAAACAGATTGCACTCCTACTATGGGTGATACATTAAGATGGATCACAATCTAAACTGGAATGAGTTGCACTCATATTGTGGCACCTTCTGGGATGGTTTGAAGCAAAAACAGAAAACGTTGCAGAAACTCTGCAGGCCTGGCAACATCTGTAGAGAGATAGCAGAGTCAATAATTTGGGTCCAGTGACCCTTCATCAGAACTGGTCACAGGACCTCAATCGTTGACTCTGCTTTCTCTCTACAGATGCCGCCAGACTCACTGAGCTTCTCCAGCAATTTTTGCTTTGTTTCAGATTTCCAGCATCCTCAGTTTTGTTTCCTCCACGGGATGATTTGTAACAGGCTGTTTACTTGGTCATTGTAAATGGATGGCATCATTTGACTGAAATGCGCCGTCCCATGGACAGTAGAGAGAGAAGGAATATCAAGATGGTGGATGTGGTTGTGCTGCCATCTGATTAGGAACATGAAGTGGAAATGACACATAATTGGCGTAAATACAGCCCGATTAAAACCTATGCAACAGAAACACGCAAAATTCCAATGGTCATTTCCTGTTAATGATGTGAGTTGGAGAATTTGCAGAGCTTTGGCGAGAAAGCAGTGCGATTCAATGAATAGAGATAGTAGGAACCGCAGATGCTGGAAAATCTGAGATAACAAGGTGTAGAGCTGGATGAACACAGCAGGCCAAGCAGCATCAGAGGAGCAGGAAGGCTGACGTTTCGGGCCTAGACCCTTCTTCAGAAAATGTTCAG